TCTAACGGACAAGCCGAGTCCGCCAATAAAATCGTCTTGCGAGGCCTCAAGACACGTGTTCAAGCCGCGCGATCAGGATGGGTAGACGAGCTCAACAAAGTACTTTGGTCGTGCCGCACGACACCCAGCTCGGCCACGGGCGAAACTCCGTTCAGCCTGGCATATGGAGCTGAGGCCGTCATCCCTGTCGAAGTCGGTCTGCCATCTGTTAGATCAGATCGTCAAGACGATCAGAATAATGGGCAACTCCTAAGAGAAAACCTAGACCTAGTGGAGGAAGTCAGGGAAATGGCTCGAATTAGGAACATGGCACACCAAAGCCGTGTGGCAAAGTTTTATAACAAGAGGGTGCGAGCTCGACAGTTTCAGGTCGGCGATCTGGTTCTACGCAAAGCTGGATTAACCAATGCCTATTCGCATATGGGCAAGCTCGCCCCTAATTGGGAAGGCCCTTATATGGTTATTGATATTAAACGACCTGGGTGTTATCAACTAGCAGATTTACAAGGTCATCCGTTGTCGTTCATCTGGAACATACATAATCTTAGAAAGTTCTACAGTTAGCGTGTATGTTATGAATGTTCAGGTCGTTATTGATCATTTGTAAATAGTGATATACTAAACATTCAGCACATAAACATTGAAGCAAAAGATTCGGATTTGTATTTCATCAATGAAATTTTACATGAGTGATACATTTAGTAAACGAATTCATTGATTAACACAAAAAAGAGATACAAAAAGAACAAAGGTCCTAAGCTACTCATCCGTCAGGTCGACGGGGGTGGATGCGTCATTTGGCGCAGCAGCAGATCGAGCTGGAGATGACCGATCTGGCGAAGAGTGAGCAGGAGACGGAACTGGAGAGGGAGCAGTTGGAATTGGAGCAGCGTCCGAGGCGGGCTGAGTTGGAGCAGAGGGGGGAGTGCTGGAAGGCTCAGCAGGTACGTCATGGGGGTCTGCCACCCAAGCGTCGAAGCTTGGCAACCCCTCCGTATCCTCTCCCTCCTCAACAACAGAAGGGGGCCACACGGGCAGCCCCTCGTCGTTGAGCTCCCACTTCAGCTTCACCCTAGTGTCCGCAGGTTGGGCGAGGCTCTTCCGGTCAGCATCAATCTCCTCGCCCTCGAAGAAGGCCAGTTCGCCAATGGGGAAGTCTGCCCGGACTCCCAACACCCTACCACGAACTTCATTAAAGATGTCAGTGGTGGTGTTGGCTGCAGCAACAGCTACGGCGTCTTGGAACATCTCTGCCCCCACCAGCCACTCAGCCCCCTGTGCACGGGCAAAGCAGACGTCGCGCTGGTGAAGTCTTTTACTCCTCTCCAAGGACGCCTCAGCCTCGGCGACGTGTTGATTCGCCAGAGAAACCCTCTCCCTCAGGCCGCTGAGCTCGTGGAGAGTTCTCTCTTTCTCAGCTTCTGCCTTTCTGGCCCGGTCCTCTGCACGGCCGGCCTCGTCCTTTGCAGCTTGAATGCCGCTCTCCTTCTCCGCCCGTGCTCGGTCCAGTTCCTCCCTCAGCTCAGCGACTTTGCGAGCCAGCTCGTCAGCCCGGCTTTCAGCTGACGCCGCTCGGTTGGCCATCTCCGAGCTCTGCAAGCGGCTGACCTCGTCGGCCAAGCTGGCCTTCTCAGATGCCAGCTGTTTGCAGTTGTGTTGCAGCTCGCTGTTCTGCGCCCTGGCTCCCTGCTCGCACTCGAAAAGTGCAATAGTGTAGCTGAACGCCTGCAATACATGTTCACTCGTCAGTTTGTAATAAAAATAAGGTAAAAGATAACTTTATTAGCGCAGCATGTCCTCCATGCTGTTGAATGTGCCCCTTTGCACGCAGCCGGTCTGCAGGGGGCACAAAATTCTGCATACCCTGCAGCATAGCGGCCTGGCACTCAGTCCGGGCATAACTGAAGCCGTCTGGGTATGCGAACCTTGGCCCCACAACAGACGACAAGGTTGGTACGGCTTCAGCAACCTCGTGAGCTGGAGCTCGGTGCCCGCCGGCAGATCGCGCAGCAGCGGCTGGAGCGGGCTGAGAGTCATTGCTCGTCCTTCGCCGGATGAGCGGAATGTCGTCCTCGGCGTCAGAGTCCTCCCTTGCGCGCCTTCTAGAACTGGAGGGCGCGGGCTCCACTCTCTGCTCGACGCGCGGCCTCTGCGCGAGCTGGAACTCCGGTGCTGTGAACTGCGCCCCGGTGCTGTGAACTGCGCCCCGGTGCAGCAGGTGGCTGCTCGTCAAAACGAGACTGGCGTTGGGAACCCGACTCGGCTCCCCGATTCCTGGAGCCTTGCACTCTCTGTCGTTGACGCTCAAGGATGCTGCTCATGACTCCTGCACAAACAAAAGCATAAGACTCAGATCGGCTAGAAGCTATACCAGCATATAAAGATATACCTTGAGAGTGTAGATTTACCACATCGACAAATCCGAGAACTGCGATCTGCTCCGGGGTAACCAAGGTTTCCAAATCCACTAGCCCCCTCGCCTTCACATAGTCGAGCAGCCGATTCTTCAGGTTGACGTCGCCACTGGTCAGCTGAGGATAATTCATATATGCGTTCAGCGTGCGCCACTCTGACAGACGGGCGGCGAGCTCGTTGTTCATCCTGTCAGTTCGCGTATCCCGCACAAACACGAACTGTCTTTTCCACCTCGCTACCTTATTTCTGATGTTGGTGAAGATCAACATCTTCTCCCTGCCCGAGATGTAGTACCATCTCGTCCCGCTGGTGGACGGACACAAACGGCATAGGAAGAGCGACCTGAAGACCACCGCCTTTGCAGGCACCCCTAGCCTTTGCAGGCACCCCTAGCCTTTCGCACAACAGCATAAAGCCTATGATGAACTTTATGCTGTTAGGAGTAAGTTGCGAAAGGGCCAGTTCGTACTCTGCCAGGACATCAAAAATTAGTCCGGAAAGAGGAAAACGTAGACCGGCGTCAAAGTGGTCTACATATACTGGCACCCAGCCTGTCCGTGACACTGAACACGCTCGTTCATTTGGCATCCCAGCTCGGATCAGGATGGTCCTGGGGATCTGGAATCGCCTCACCATCTCTTCCAACTTCTTGTACCCTTTCACCGTGGCCGCACCATCAGCGACCTCGTGATGAAGCACCGCCCTGAATTTGAAGCCGGACGGTAGCGTTTTAGGAGCTTTACGCAGGTTGTCTAGTCGCCCGCTGAGAACCTGGTTCTCCCACCGTTCAAACAAAACCACCTCAACTGCCGTACTCGCCAGCGGCACACTGCACCCAACCTCTTCAACACCCCTTACTTCGCTGGATGTCCCTTCCACAGGCGAATCACTAGAAGTTGAAGGCTGGTGGTTCTCAGAACCGCTACTTGTGCTCGAACTAGTGCTATTCTCAGGCGTGGCGGTCCTAGGCGAATCCTGCAACTCCGGCGGCACTATCATGGTGATAGGCTCCACGGATATCACGTCTACGTCCTCGTCTTCACCTTGGTTACCCCGGAATCCTTGTGCATCGTGTGAAGAAGTCATTTTTACCTGAATAATGGAAGTCGAATGTCCTTTTGCTGAAAATTTTGAGGAATACTCTGGAGTGTTTCTGCAACTGTTGCTGAGGAGAATGTTAACGTACTGAGCAATGAAACAGAAATGTCCTTTTGTTTTTCTCCTTCAGATAACGCCCTGTAATTTTTGTACGCGTTTTACGACCCCTCAATTAAACACGTCCACGTGGCAGCCATTTATGGGCAAAAACTCAAAACGCGCCGTTGCAGCTGTCACGTCTCCTCAAATGCTGAGCCAGCATTTATTGTGGGGAGGCAAAAAGGCGTCTGCTAAAATCAGAAGAATATCAAACGCCCTGAGCAAATCTCCTCTGAGATTCGACACAGTTGTTGAAAAATCCAAACGTTCAGATCGCGATAAACTGCAATGATCAACTCGTAACAAAATCGGAACCTAGGCAAATCTCCTCGAAGATTCGCTACAGTTAAAATCTTGAAAAATCTAAGGGATCAGCTCGCTACAAATTCGCGATCTCCTCACTGATCCGTCAAAATTCAAAACTTAAAAATCCCGAAAAATCAGCTCGTTGCTAAACTCGAAAAACCTCTAGAAATCAGGTCGCATGGATCATAGATCCACCTCAGATTCGGGCATCGAGCGTTAGATTATAATCAACTCCCTCAGAGCTGCTCTGTATCCCAGAGGCATGTATCGGGGTGACGAGTGTGGCCGCGATTTTCTGCCCGTCTAGGGTCAGTGCGTCCAGCTCGTTCACTATCTGCTCATCGCAACTCCGCCGCAGGAAAGTCCTCAGGCAAGGTCACTCTTACGCATCTGCCCGGCCACTCGACTAGCATCGAGCTCGACCAGTCGTAAAACCAACTCCTCGCGCCTGCTCGGAATAGGCCCGGCATACCCTGGCACATCTGGTCAGGCGCCATGCTTTCAAGCCGGTCAGGCCGTCCATATGTGAGGTCGTTCATGAACGCAAGAAGGCCGTCCATACGTGAGGTCGTTCATGAACGCAAACAGGCCGT